TCAGAATTCCCTTTTTCCCTCCTTACCCAGAAAACTACAGCTTGAAGATCAGCTGAATCCAAGCTCAGAGACAGTTTTCCATTTCACGCGTACTCACATTTCATGCTTTGACAAAGTTGAACATCTATTGTGGAATCCCTGCTCTGCCTATTTCCCCCATTGAACTCAAAGCAGGAAGGAGTCTGAACTCACATGTGAGATGCAAAGTGTCTGTTCTCTATTAGTTTCACCCCATTCTCATTAAGTGTTTCAACTCGTTTTTTCAGCACCATCAGCAGTTGTTCAAATTCCCCATGACGCTTCAGCAGGCTTCGAACAGCATCAACATGGTCCTGCATTCGACAAAAAAAAGTTGATCGAGTTTCTCCTGATGTACTTAGAATGAAAAGAAGATTGGACCTTACTTTCCCTTTTTAATTTCAGTCATGATATATACTATACATTTTTAACTGGCTTAAGGAAATTCAGGCTTGTAAACCTGGAGGCAGGTTTTGGCTGAGGCTTAGGTTTTTCTTACATTTGAATCTCCTGTCTTAGGTTTATTCCAGTATTAGGTTTCCATTTTCAACTTTCAAGTTAAGCTATGTCAGCACTCTGGCACAGTTATGGAAGTACAACATGAAGGGCCATAATTAAGTAAATATTGACTCCATTTAGTTGCCCCCCGCAAAATCTCACAATTCTGCAGCTGAAAACACAGTAAGAGGAGGGGAGGCACCACAACATCCTCCTTCACTGTTCTTGTGAATATTGTCTGCTTTGGATTTTTCCCGTCGTTTGCTTTAATGCTATTAAAATTATTCAGTGAAAAAAAGCTTTATTTTTAAAAAAGTCAGGATTCTATTTCACTCGAACACATTATTTATGTTCAAGTTGGAAGCTTTTTTTCATGGTTCACCACCAAACTGAAGATCAAGTTGCATTTCTGAAATGCACAAACAAATGGGTTACAACATTTGCTGTTTTTTAAAAATGTTTTTAAGAGACAATGAGCCTAGTTCTCATTGCGATAAGAACATAAAACTCAGGTCCTGAAAGACAGGTTTCCAAGTACGCCATGACTAATATGAATGAGGAAGCTGATCTGATTAAGAAAATTGTTGCAGCTCCCTGGAGACAAGAAAATCAGCTGCACCTACCCCAAGGTCATCTCCCCGGAGGAAGGCCTCATGGCTAGAGAGCGCTGCATTGATACGATCTGCCTCCCTGTTGAACTTTTGCAACTCCAGACCATCCTGCAGCTTTTTCTGCCGCTGCTCCCACATCTTCTCCAGCTCTTTGTTTTCCTCAGCAAGCCTCTCCACGGACTGGAAGACCTCTGTGGTCCTACTGTTACTGGTTTGTTCGTGGATTACCTTGCGCCCTAGTTCTTCCAGCAGCACAAATCTTCCCATAGTGAAAAAAAAAAGGTTAGATCTCATTGTATGGCAGAATTTGAGTTCACTTTCATCATAGTTTCTTGCTCTCGTAGCAATGCCTTCTACTGAGGGGCTGCATAAGATTCATTTTCTTGTTTAGCTTCGTTCCCTCCTCCTCTCTCTTGCTCTTTTTCAGACAGTGTTGTACACTACAAGCTGCAAGTGGAAATTTGCTCTGGGGATATATGCTGAGATAGCAGATGAAGAGATTGCTGTTTGGCTTGAAAGTGCAAATAAACAGTCTTCCTCATTTTCCAAACAGAACGGCCTCCCTCCTCCCCTTCACAGTAAATGTGCAACACAAAGAACATAACTGGATTTTGTGTTCAGCAGTCATCTTCTCCTGCTAAATTTCCTAAGCACTTAGATAAACCTTCAGCATCACTTTCATACTTTATGTACAATAGACATATTTCACTTTCACAATACTGCTGTAGTAACACCCCACTTTGATAGACTCTCTTTACCTTTCCTTTTGAGACCTGATTTCCTTCAGCAGGTCCTGATGCTCCTTCAGCAATTGCTCTGCAGAAGCTACATCCACACCCATTTCTTCACTTCTCAGCAGCTCCCTGATGCCTTCTGCCCACAGGAAGAGCCTGCGGCTGTCTTGCAGGAAGGACTGCTGATTTTGTGCCTGCTGCAGATCGTCCCACTTCTTTTTGGTCTCCAATTTGAGCTTTGTGAGAAGCCTCTCCATGGTTTCCACCTGCTCTGTGATAGCCCTGCTCTCTGCAGGGTTGGTGTCCTTAATCCTGCAGCGGGAAACCAAATACATTCAACTGCAGGAACAGCCTTAGGCATTTAGAGCTTGAACCAATGTTCTTTAAAAAACATGGATAGATATTTGTATAAAGCACCAAGGGCTCCACATCAGCAAGAAACATTGCCATACCTGCAGAAAGTACATCCTCTCAAAAGACTCTGGCAACACTGTAGTTCAGTGGCTCATTCCCATTGTAAATACACATAAGACTTTAATAAATACAGCACTTTAAATCCAAATTTCAAATTAAAACTACAGTACCCAACTATCTGCTCTTTTTCTTCCTTTTACCTTGCTTCCTCTGATTACCCTATTTCAGGAGCTAAGTGGGATCTGGTTCCGTGTTGAAATAGCTCCCGTTAGCAGAAGTAAGTTGTTAGAAGCACAAACAATTCTGTGGCCTTCACAGATTTTTCCTACAACAGTGAAATCTGGAAGCAATCACCTAGCCGGTTTCCTGGGGACACTCAGGAGAGATTGCTCTCCAACCAGCAAGGGAATTCTTCACAATGCTAGGGAGAGATAGAGACTTCACAAGTTTCTCATTCTCATCACAGCTATCCTTCACAACATGATTTTAGATAACTGGCATAGAATATGGAAAAGAAAAGCAGGTTCCTTACATTTTAGCAACACTCCTCAAATATTCAATTTTCCTCTCCATCACTAGGACCTCTCTCTCAATTGCAGACAGTTTGCGCTGGTCTGACTCCAGCCCAGCAGCTGAGTTTCCTGGTTCGAGGCCCACGAGTTGAACCATCTTGTCTTGCAGGACTACCCCTATGCTCTGACAGTCTTGGAGAAATGTCTTCACATCGGCCACTCCGATCAGCTCTGAGCCCTTCTCCTCCTTCAGGGATTCCATGTGTTCCCACCTTGGAGAGACACAACTCAGTTACTTGCATCTAACCCCAACCCCAAAACTCACCTTCATCTAAAGCAGGCAGGTTCCCTTCATAGTCACTGCTGTACCAAGTTTTAACCACAGTGACATTTGTTTCTGTGCCAAAATCCGAAAACAAGGAAGGAAAGGGAAATAAACAGGCTATATCCTTTTTCTGTTCAGTAAGTCTTGCATGGAAGATTTCATCATGACTTAAGCAGGCTGAGAAGGCGAATACTAGTGTTCACCCTCAATTGAATTTCAAGTGGATTTCACCTCAAACTTTCCCCTAGCAAAGACTTATTTTATTAAACCTTAGGCAAATTTGGGGAGTTAAAATCTATTAAAGTGGTATTTTCTCAAGGTAGTTCAAATCTGGCATAAAAAGTCAGTTCTCCATCTGTCTCTATGAGAAAAATCTCCATTTTACTGGTAGGACCTTTACCTGCTATTAATCTCTTCCAGCCAAATTTGGATCTCAGAATATTTGCTGGGATTTCTTGCTGCATATTTACCAGCTAATTTTTCAATATCTCCCATCTGGCCCTTCCCTGCAGCCAGTTCTGTTAAAAAGCTCTAAAATAGAAAAAATATAAGAACGCATAAGTTGAGATTTTTCCAATTCTGCTAACAAAGTGCTCCATATTCTCTTGTATTTACTCATGTTCTACTTTTGCATGTCATACACTTTGACTTCTCCACTTCACCTATCTCTGTTCATTTACCTGTCTGCTGACACAGTGAAGATCTGCGTGTGTCTTTTCCTCTTAACCCCTCTGATCTACCCCAGGCTTGCAGAATATTTCTATGCAAATGCATCTAATTCTACTGTGATGCAAGTACACTGTGGGATTTTTTCTTCTTGTGACTTAAAGCCGCTCAAAGAAACCACCCGAACAATATTAAAAACAAAACAAAAACCCCAACCAACCAAACAAACAAAAAGCAAACAAACAAGCTAAAGGGTCATGATTTCACCTGCTTCAATAAACTTGGCATAGTTTATACTAAAGGAACATCCAATCTATAGACAACCCTATAACTTGAAATGTAATTAAGTGAACTCCCGAGAATTTTTTTCTTATCCACTTCATCCGTTCTTCTAAGGTCAGAATGATTGGTAAGTGTCACCTGTGAGCAGGTGAAGAGGGTACCTGGTATTTCTGCTGCATGACCTCCACATTGTCTGCTTGAGGTTGTAGAGTCCGGAAAATGTTCTCTTTTTCTTTCATCCATGACTGAAATTCTTCACATGAGCTACAGAAACGGTAATAGCCAATCATGTCCTCCAGAGCCTTCTTTCTGTCCTGCAAAATAGATGGAAACTTAAGTACTGTTGTGTTAACTACCTTGCTTTTTGAAAAGAAATGATCCTTGCATATACACAAACTACCACATACTGGTAGTAGCTTGGCCGTTTTGCCCAATACTGCTGAAAGAAGACATGTTATGTGAAACTCCTAGAATCCTTCTTCCCAGAGCAACAGTGGTTTAAAAGCATGAGAAGCCATTAACCAGTGCCCAGTCTCTGACAAACAATGAAGCCACAATGTTACACGCTGCTTTTACTGATGATTTATCTCAGTAATGTCAGGAACATGTAAAAACCCTCGCAAGATATTTTTGCTGTCTTTTGGGCAGGATTGCAGCAGGTCAGATTGAAAATATATAATAAACACAGAATACATGAAAGCTCATACAGATAAGCCTTTTTTTTTTTTTTTTTTTAATTCTGGCACAGGCCTTGAGCCGCAGCAGGCAAATTCATTCATTGAACAGATTGCCACAGCATCAGAGCCTATCTCAGCCCATTTAGTTCCACCTTGAACAGTGGCTACTTCTTTCAAGATTGAGGCACATTACTGGAACTAAAAACGAGAACCTGGTGCAGCACCTAACCTTGCTTCACACTGCTCTGGACTTGGCTATTTTGCAAAAGCCCAAAAGATCGGCAGGGATACCTACCTCAGCCAGGCTCTGCAGGTTTTCGTAAAGTGAGTCTATTTCCTCTTGGGTCTTCCAGATGTTCTCAGGCACAAAATGAACATCTTGATTAGAGCTACCAGGAAACACAGTGTCCCGAGTTCGACTGAATGGCAGCTTATTTGTCCTCTGAGTTAGGTCACTTGGAGCTTCTGCCTTTACCATCTGTAAGGCAAAATTTAGCAGAATTGCTGTCTGAATATTTCCAATTTGGATAAAAAAGGTATTTAGAAAGAAAATCTCTAGTTCTGACTACAACATTTTGACCTTTTAAATAAGACAGTTCCTAATTCCTAATTTTTAAAATTACCAAGAAACTGTACCATCTGCCAAGCTCACAGTTCTACTTGTGATATTTTCAATACTGGAGTACTCATAGTTTCATGCTCACTGAATGGCCTAAGGAATAAATGCTTTTATTTGCACATTAAAACCAGTAGTCACTTGTTTTTCATGTATAGTAACAGATTAAAATGATATTTGTTTCATTAATAATTAATACTGGAGTCATGCAGTAAAGTCCCGAAGTGATGCTCATAGCCCTCCAGAGGGGTATGTTATTCATCTTCCCTGACTTTTGTTCTTTAATGAGATGGTCTCTGGTCAGAAGCTCTCTTTGCAGTGAGGGAAAAAAGGGAAGCATCTATAGAGGTCAACTTCGTTTCGTATGTCCTAGAAAGTCTTCTTGTGATGGGATGAATTTTTCCTGTTCATTATGTTAGGATTCTAGAAGAATTTGTAAGGCAATGTAAACTAGATAGGTGCTTTCTATAACTGATTGAAATGAATACTGTTGTAAAAGTAAAGAGTGAGAGAAATCTGTGTGGACCCGTAGAAAGGAGTAACATACACGTGAGCCTATTTCTAGGATTTACATGTTTATCAGTCTGTGGCAGCAAGAGGTCTGAATCTCAAATCACAGAACACCAACTAAGTGGGCTAAAAGTGGCCAAGGAAATTCTCTGTCATTTTTAAAATAATGCTTCAATTCCAATTCAATTTTTCTACTAAATTAAAAACAAAACAAAACAAAACACCTGTTGTTTAAGGTCATATGGAAGATTTTGTCAGGGCAAAATCAAAATATTTTGCATTATTCAAAAGCATTTCATAAAGTGTTATATAAAATTAGATGATGATCAAAGCTGAAGTAATTTTAAAACATAAAATATTCTGTTCTGAATTGATTTTTTGTTGAAAAGGATGCGTTACTGAAATGGTTTAGACAACTTCAGAACACTATTTTCCATTTGAAAAACTATTCTGTGGGAATTTTCTCTGATAGCTACAAAAAAAAAGGGAACAAAATATGACACAATCCCCCATCCACTTACTGCAGCAGGTGCCTGCTCTGCCGCAGCGTCCGCTTGCTCCTTCAGGCGCCTCATCTCCGAGGAGTAGGCTGCAATCTCCTTCTCCAGGCGCAGGTGCCGGTGCAGCAGCGCTTCGGCGCTGGATTCATCTTTCCCATAGTCCTTGCTGGCCAGAAGGGGTTGTATTTCTCGCAGCCATGAATTTGCTTCATCAATGTCTGCAAAGTACTGAACACAGGAAAAGGAAAGGTTTGTTTTTATCCTGGAGGCTTCATAGCAACATCCTTCCTCTTTGGAAAATCATCCTGAGTAAGGCAGAAATTCCATGAGAACTGCAGCTCGGAGGTTACTCCCAGGTGCTGTGTAAGCTATGAATTAGGTGGCTCTAGAACTCTAAAGTCTTGATATACTTTGTAATAACTCACCAGATCACTGTGTATAAAACAGATTCAAGCATTGTCCTTTACAACTCTTTGAAAATACTGAAGTAACTCAATCTTTATGATGCTCAATAGTGGCTGTAAAAGGTATTGGCAATATAAAATATTTCACAGGAGACTGTGCAATTTCAACAGACAATCCAACAGCTGTTTTCTAAAGGTTCCTAAGACTAACCTGGCAATGAAAAATGAATTCAGACTCTACAATTTCTTTTTTTTATGAATAGCATCTACCTAGCTATGATAGTACTACCACCAACCAAGACACTCTGCTAGGCAGAACTGAGATATTGATATATAATTTATGAATGTTGATTTTACAGTATATCTCTGCAGTTATGTGAATATTTGTATGTGTGAGAGAGCTGTGCAGATCACCACAGCAGGGACAAGCGTTTCCCGGGCTTTGGGAAATTCATGATCTGGATTCAAGCCTCATGGGCGTTTATTTTGCTGTGATTTTTTTTTAATGATAAAACCTGCCACAGAGCTATCCAGATCTCACCCTCAGAAAAGACTGTGCATCAACACTAAGTGACGTGCAGATCACCACAGCAGGGCCAAGTGTTTCCCGGGCTTTGGGAAATTCACGATCTGGATTCAAGCCTCATGGGTGTTTATTTTGCTGTGATTTTTTTTTTTAATGATAAAACCTGTCACAGAGCTATCCAGATCTCACCCTCAGAAAAGACTGTGCATCAACACTAAGTGAGCTACTTCCAATACGGTTTTTAATGGAGAACTACCACCAACCAAGACACTCTGCTAGGTACAACCACTCCTTTCCATCGCCTGCCCGGCTTGCAGGAAGAATGACCCTGAGCCTCCGGCTGTGTCTTTCTGAAGTCTGAAGATTTCCATTTCTGTGTCCCTGCCCCAGAAATGCCACCACACACCACAGCATAGTCCCACTGACCTGCTTGATGAGAGCTGCTGCCTGCAGGCGTCTTTTGCGATCAGCCACTTCATCTTGGAGCTGTTGCCACAGCTTTTGGAGGTTGTCCGTCTGCCTCAGGATGTCCTCCTTGCGAGCATGGTTCTTCTGGCTCAGCTCCCAGCCCCTCCTCATTACGTCTGCACAAACCGCCCGGTGGGAGTTGCACTCTGCTTCCAGAGCCTAGCAAAGGGATGGGAGATGCACGAGTACAAGTCACTCAGCAGCAGTTTGGAGCAAAGACGGATCGTATTGCTAGCTACTATAAAACAGGCTTTTCTAAGAGCCCTTTGCCTTATCTGTCCCTGGGACTCTTCCCAGAGGCAAAAAACAACTCTCTTCCCCACCAAGTTACTGTCCTGCTTGTTGCCTTGGTCATGAAGGCTGCTGCTCTGAGGGAGATACTTGTTTATTGTCCACCAGTCAGGTTAAGGCCCAGTCGCCTTAACCTTCTGGAAGCAGCATATAGAAACAGATGTGCACACATGCATATTCAGACCACAGAAGGGGCTTTGGTTTGAGTTTCATCACTGGATTCTCAACTCTGTAGGTCTCTCTGCTTGTTTACAGCGATCCATTGCCACTAAAGAAAAAGCAGCAGTTTTCATGGCTGAACTTTTGACACTTTCCCACAGCAGGCTTTTAGGGAAGGCTCTAACTCTTTCTAGTGGTGTGAGAGCTCTTCAAGCACTATATCAACTAAACTGAAGGACACAGACTTCCTAAAGTCTTGCTATAATGCAAAGAAAACAGCACCAGCCAAGTAAGATACCTTGTGCTTCTGAATAGAAGCAGAAA